TATTTTCAACAATAATGAAAAAAAAAGGATGAAATCAGGCGTTTCCAAACTTTTTTCATACTCTTACAAGTATTTTACTTCCCGAAATTCACAAATACAATTAGAAAAAAGTTCTGTCAAGTCCGTTTTTTTTTTTTTTTTAACTTTTTGTGAAACTGAAACTAACCTACAAATTAGATAGATTACAAAATACCGATCTAGATTACACTCGTGAAAGTATCATCGGCACAGATTCGTCACGGTTATTGTAAATTGTCATCAGCAAGTTGTTCAACCGTCCCTGGCACGGTTCCTCGATTGCGCGTAATAATCTGTCATGAGAAGATCCCCCGTTACCTCTATTTCTCGTTTTACAATTTCGTACGACATTCTGTAATATCATTTCACGATGTTTCGCAAAGGAATAAACCGAGGAGAATTGTCTTTCACCGCATTTCGAGATGTAAACTGTCGTCTGGATAATTCCATTATTGTTTCTTTTATTTAAGTTAATATTCTACAATTTCTGGTCATCATCTTAATGATCTTTAACATTATTCCATTAAAAAAATTTTATCAATTATTTCTCCCTCTCTCCTTTCGACTGAATCAAAATATTCATTTGTCATTAAGTTGTTGCTCCTTATAACAAATGAAATAATCATCGATAAAAATAATTTAATTCGAGAAATTAAATTAAGAAGTAATGAATAAATTATTTATAAAAAAAACTTATCGACGAGTTATTTTTGACGTGATTAAAGTGATCGAATATAAATAAATAGAAAAAATAACCTCTTAAAAATATTAATTTTAGAATATGTTGGAAACCTTCCCCCTCCCATAAATAATTTAAAAGATAAAAATATATACATAATCGTCCAGTAAATTAGATATTTGATTTATATGACATAGTGTTAAAAAGTGAAATCTTTGTGTTCACGAAAATTAAGAATATCATATCTAGATTACACGAATCCTTATCGATACATTTTAAATACAGATAATACACTTCGCGAAATGGAAAAGAAAAAAAGAAAAAAAAATTCCATTCCACGATTTCTTACGCGTAACAATCGTCACGCGTTATTGTCGATTATTCGATTGTGATCGATTCGAAGGAACAACTATCATCGCGATAACACATCGTGCCTTCGCCTTCAATAGGGTCATTCGAATTATCGCGAATCATCAGCCAACACGATACGAGTCATACGATTCTTCTTTTTATATAATTTTCCCTTTTTAAATTAATATAGTTTTTTTCCTTTCTTATTCTGCATATTTATCTACAACCGACTCGTTTTATTTACGTAATCGCACGTAGTTTCGTTTCAATCTACGAGGTCGAACGTGATTTAGATTTAAAAGAAAAAAAAAAAAAAAAAGAAAAAAAATTCTCGGCGAACGAAATTTCCTTATCCATCGGAATGTTGGTAGATAAGAATGATTGAATGTATCTTGTAAATAAATTTTGAAAAGACAAATAAGAGAAAGATTTGATAAGACACATTTAAAAGAAGACTTATCGAGAGTTATTTTTCTGTTCATCATCTGTAATTACTTTGAAACGAGTTACTTTTTCATTGCTTTTAGATTATAGCATGAAATCAAGAAGAAACAAATTTATCGTTCCCCCTCTTATTCTCGAATAAATAATTGTAAAATGTGAAATTAGTTTCTCCTAGATCATTTTTTCCTTCTTATTATTATTCGACTATCAAAGTTTCATTGCTTTCGTGCAATCGAATTGCAACACGTCTGTGCACGACGTTTTACGTCATTTCTCTTATCAGTTAAGAAGCGGGCTTATCATTCCAAGAACGCAGGTAATCTCCCTTTTTAAATAAATGTAAATGATCCATACCTGTTTTCGCGTATCGTGCGATTATTGAAGGATGATATTTCGAAATATTAATTGGGCTATTAATTTCCAATTCAATGTTCAAAGTCCAATAAACTCTCCTCCAAACAATCCTCGATCATCGAATTAAAAAAAATTGTCAAACTTCCTCCAGATTATTAACTCGGAATTTTTTTGACAAATTTGATATAAAAAGTATTCGTTCTTTAATAATTTGATATGGAGAACCGATTTCCACGAAATTCCACGAAATGGAATTAAAAGTTAAATTAATCATCGTGGAAGGAATCGCGATTTCATAATTTTTAGAATTTCTTTTTTTCCTACAAATTATCGAATCTATTATTCTTACCATCACGAAGTTGTTGCGTTACAATTAATTTACAATCAACATTCAATAATTCTGTGCTTAAGCTTATATTAATTAAATTAAGCAGAAAAAAAGGATCACGATTTCCCCTTCGATCACGTTCAACATTATTCGACACAAAGAAGAGAAACCTTTTCTTTGCGCTGCGATTATGCCTTTACAGAGACGATAATCGCTATAATTTCGTTACGTGAGTAACGTTTCACTGTAACGTGCATTCGATTGTCGCGATTTCGTTTTAGAAATGAAGCGCGTCTCGCGGCGGGCGGAACACACAGGTTTCTTCCCTTTCGAAATTCACCCGCTGATATTCAGCGATTAGAAAGTTCGGAAAAACGAGCGAATAATGGTTTCGCAAAACGGTCAAGATAGTTGTAATCGATCACAGGCACGATCATCCTTGAGCCTCTTCATTCTTTTCCGCGCATTCTATTACGCTTTGTTGATCGTTTGCGTCAGTTTATGAATGTATACTGCATTCATTAAAAAAGGGAATGAAGAAAAAAATACGAAGGTCGTTGAAGGAAACGTTGATTGAACCGATGGATTCAGAGAGAGTAGAGTTTTTTTCTTTTTCCTTTTTTGTGGAAGTTCATCGACGATGATATTTGCATTAACATATGCATGCTTCACTTTGATTAAATTGCACAGATTTATTATTCATATAGATCGAAAGATACACATTGCGAAAATAAATATGAAAATGTATTGTCGGAAATGGTAGGTAATTGGAAGCTAATTTGATTCGATTCTCAGGTTTCTCAGACTCTAATCTTCCCGTGATACTTGGAACGTTGGAAAAGCAGGAAAATAGAGAAAGGAGAGAAGAGATTCGTGTTGAAGAAATATCTCTTTGCAAACACTTTTTCCTTGAAATAATTTCTTCGTTTCTCATTTCCACGGTGAGTCGAACAAAATTGCCAGAAAATGTTGGAAAATCGATAGGTAGGATCCGAAGAGAAAAATTCCGTGTATCGGGGACGATTGATGAACAAAAAGCCAAAAAGATGGTCGAAATGGTAGATTAGAAATAAATGTAGGCGACCTTCACCTTCTGGCGAGAGATCAGGGTTAGAAAGGCCATCGGTGATACATGCACAGCATAGAACGTCTTCTCGTTCGAGCACACCGATGCAAATCAGCACGTGTGCTAAACTTAGACTTTAAACGGATGTTAATAAACACATAAATGGAATTTAAATGGAATCGTGCATCAATCGTGAAACAATGAACGACCTCGGTTGTGCAATTAATTCTCTATCGCGCGTGGGAGAATATTTTAACGAACTTAAAAAAGAAAAAAAAAAAAGAAAAAAGAAAGAAACGCGTACCCTGAAATCTGCAAACAAAAAATTGCACGCGAAAGAAGACGAGAAAAAGAGGACAAGGAAATGATCCGATAAGGAAATTGTTCGAGTCGAAAAGATAAAGATACGTTCATTTCTCTTTCTCAGAGGATCTTTTTCGATCCTCAATTAATAACCAATTGATATCGTTTATGGTCAAAACTTTATGATGTGTTTGTAGTGGACATCCTTAACCCTTTTACAGAGAGATAAGCGGTTCAGAAAAGAAGTTTTACGAACATTATATTTTAAATGTTACGACTACCACAACTATTAAAATTTATTGGCCATAAAATACTGAAAAGTATGTTACTCTCAGTGTCGGATACACGTTGGAATATTACGAAAAATCTTAATGATAAGAGAATAATTATTTAAAGTTATTATTATTTTTTACAATTCTTCGTTTCACTTTATTACACCGCCAAAGTATTAAGACATCAAGGCATAAAATTATCATTTTTAAAACACATGGAGAAAAATTTATTATATACTGCGTCCTTCGAGGAGTCGTTCGAAAAATGAAAAAAAAAAAAAAAAAAAAAATAACAACGACCGACGAGGAGGCAAGGTAACGAGGTAACGAAGTTTCTCCCATAAGAGTTTCGAAGTACACTTCAATCTCTCCCCCCCTCTCCCCCCTCTTGTTGAATCTGTTAACATAACAAACATTGCCCATTAACTTGGCCAATATCTATCACGACGCAATATGCATCCTCTATGGTGCAAACACTCTCCCCCTCTCCCCTCCTCACCCCCCAAGTTCCCCGCGAAAAGAGTTCACCAGGTCGTCGAATCTCTCTGCAGAGGCGAAAGAAGGAATGAGGAATTGCTGACAAGGCCGAGAGCCGGTGAAATTACCTTGAAGCGTCGTCGTCGAGACGCGGCCAAACGAGATGCCTTCGATCCATTGCCGATCGAAGTGCCGATGAAAGTCGACGACATCGAACACGCCGAGCACCTTTTCCTCTTCTCTCCCACTCGTTAACCCTCTCGCGTCATTTTGTTCCCTTTTCAAAGAGTTCCCTCCACCTCCAATCGAATTCCTCTGCAATTCTGTTCCCTTCTTCTTCCCTGGACGGGTCGAGGGAGATGGAGGATTCTGAAGATTCAGTTTCGGTCAGGAGAGGAGAGTTTGAATCGAATTATTGAATTAATGATCCCGAGTTTCTTTCCAAAGAAAAGATTACGCGCAAATTTTTGCAAGAAAACAAAATTCCAAAATGGGGAAATTTCTTCAATACACACACACACACATATATATATACATCTGTCATAAAATTCGTCTCACGTTGACATAAATTTTGCGAGATTTTTTTACGAGGATATTCCTCGACAATTCGTCTCACTTTCGCGGTTAGATATTCCGGCCGGAGAGAAAAGAAAGGAAGAAAGAAAGAAATTCGACGGTGTGGTATAAAGTGTTCTCGCAAATTTGCAGACAAATCTGGCACGGATGTGGGGACGACGGCGCAAGCGCTTCGCGACATCGTGGAGCGCGTGGTCGAGGAGGCGAGGAGGCTGCCGGGTTTCGGAAGTTGTGACGGGAGCGGAAGGATCCAGGATGAGAGGAACGGCGCGGAGAACAGTTACGAGGAAGTGCTCGCCACCACGATCCTCAACAAGGTTGTAGAAACATATTCTCGGAGGCTGATCTCTCGGGGGAGGGGAGGGGCGCCTCTCTCCCCGGAGAGGGTCGGGCTCCGGTTCACGGAATTCGTGGAATCCGCTCGAGAATCGATGAGCGAACGATGATGGATTTTCTAGGTCATCGAGAGATACCAGAAGAAAGATGTGGACGGCAATAGCAACGTTCTCCCTGGGAACTGCGTGACTGCGAAGTATGCAACGAGTACGTTTTCCGATTCTTTGGAATATTTTTAGAAGCCTTTTCGAAAATTTATTGATTAAATTAACCCTTAATCGTATAAGCGTGGATATGATTCGAATCGATTATTCGAAGAGTGATCGAAGAAATGCATAAGTAGATGAATAAATATATATTTGTTCTTTTAGCTTCGTGTATAAGTTAATCATAATTGATCGAACGATTCGATGAAAGATCTCAAAGATGGGATTAAAATCTTCTTATAGAAATTTTAAAGGGAAGAGAGAAGTTTGAACGAGACAAGAAAATATAGAAAAGAAGAGAATCGTTTTTTTATATATATATATTGGTTTTTCAGGTGAAAGCGAGGCAGGACTGGACGAAGGTGTCGAAGAAGGTTGCAGCAGCTTGGAACCGTTGTCTCAGGAGGATTGCGCCAGCAAGTATAGCGCATCTAGCTCGAGACGCGTTAGAAACCAACCGGAGTCATTATCTCTCACGGTAGGCGATCCTTTTACGGAGGCACAACCTCCGGAGAACTCGCGAAAGAACGAAAACTGTTCCCGAGAAACGGATACCCGTTCATTCTTTCTGAATCGTTCGAGGTCGAGCGTTGTTATTCGTTCGTGCTGGACGATTCGTCAGAAAAATCGACGCAACCGTTCTCCAATTTTAAAGTCATTCCGAATGATTTATGGATCAATGAAAAATAATTTTTGCTTGAAATGACAAATTTTGCACTGGAAAAAAATATGAATGAAACACTTAAAAATTATGTATCTATGTTAAAAAAGCTTTGTAACGAGGACACATTTAAATTTTAAATACACGCGAAAAAAAGAAGATTTGAAAAATGTAAGTCTTTTTATAGAATTTCGAGATTAGGTTTCTAGGTGCTCGGGTGATCAACCGATAAGCTCGCGAGTGATAAGCGACCATAACGAAATAAGATGTTTCGTGTTGAAATACGCGTGGCAATTTCGACTGATAAAAGAAAACCAAAAGAAAAAAAAAGAAAAAAAGAAAAGAAAGAAAGAAAAAAAAACATATATAAAATATACATTAAAAGTTAGGAACGAGTATGATCCACTTTCTTCCGTAGTAGATTTATTAACGAGATGTTTCGCTCGTTTCAGATAGAAGAACGAATAGAGGAAGTGACCACGACTTATGCATCCGACGAGGACTCCAGGGAATCTCTGTTGCCCGTCAAGAATGCCCATCGAGTGCCATTTCCTGAACTTGGAATGGACATCATCGATCGTAAGCGTATTTAAATTAAATTTAAATTCGTATTTACGTTCAAATTTGCCGATTTTCTGACGGTCATTTCCTTCCGCATATGCAAAATGTATCGAAATACTCGAGTGTGCGATATTTTTGCTGATCGCAAATGGAGGAGCGTTTTGCATATTCCAATCGGTCAGTGCTATTATATCGTCACAGTGTTATTAATGATCGTTCGTTAACGTACATCGTTTTTCGTTCGTACAAATGTTACAATAACGACATTACATTTTACGATTTAATTTTCGTTCTATCGAGGGAGAAGATATATCTCGTGCAATGATTCGATTCTCAAAATCGTGAAACTTAAATTTATTTTTAATAAGTAATTTCGTAAACACGTTTCACGGCGTTCCTGTAAAAAAGTGAAAATTGCATTCTGCGACGTCTATCTATTAAAGTGAGAAATTTGATACGCAATACAATTTGAAATAAGATAAAGAGTAATTCTTCCATTGTATAATAAAATATAATACAAAAAAAAAAAAGAAAAAAATTAAAGTAATCGTGTACAATTTGTGATTATAACATAAATAACGACACGGCGTATCCTATTCATCTAAGATCGCACAATTTTATCGGATCGACAAAATGTTAACTCAACAAAAAAAACTCCATTCCAGCTTTTCACTCGGAGGACAGCCAGGACGAAATCGACGCGCCGACCAACGTGGATTTAGTATTCCCGGTCGAATCTTGGGAAGAAAACTGGTTGTTCCAAAGGAAGAAGGTTCAGACACAGCAGGCTGACTCCGTGGCCATGTTGGTGCCGAATCCAAGCGCCGATTACAAGGCTCTGATCGGTGACAAGGACGCGGAAGACACCTCCGACTTGTCCGAATGTTCCTCGGCGCAGGCGGACGAGGACATCGAGAAAGAGCTGATGGAGGCGATAAGCAACGTGGTCCCACGAACCCCGGAGAACGAGAAAAAGTTCGAGAATGAGCTGGACCAATATCCAGATTCTTCGACGAAAACTGAGATTCGAGGCTCGAAAGATGGAAGGATCGACGAGGATGGCGAGAGACGAGGATCGAAGGGGAGGAGCGACGAAGGAAACGACGAAGGGGTTGAAGCCAAAGAGATCGAGCGTCGTTCTAAAGCTGTGAACGAGAAACCCGTGCCAGGAAATTTAGTCGATAACGGGTCAAACGAGACGACGAACGATGAGGTATCGAGAAATTTGATTAGCGATTCAATCGAATTCGATTCTCCAACAGAGGGGAATGAACCGGATGATTTATCGAGTCTCTCGAACGTGAAACCCTCCGCGATCGACGAAAACGCGCTTGACTTGCCAAAGACACCGACATCAACGCCGAGAATTTCCATGGCCGAGCTGAGGGAATTGGATAACTTGGAATCGCTCGATTCCCGGGAAAACAACGTTCTGAATTCGCTGGAATGCGCTAAGAAGAAGTTGATGGCCGTGAATGACAGCGTGGACGAGGAGGAAGCAATGCTCGCTCAACAAAAGGTCGACTTTCATGGTAAATATTTCAATAAATACGTAAATAGTTTATTAAATTATGGATTTTAATTTTGTTCGCGAATATTGTCAGCCGAGGATATTCAAGAACAAGAAAGCGAATACACCGAGCATTACGATATCGCGACCCAAAGGCACTTGGATAGCTTGACGAAGAGCGAGTCGTCCGATTTTTCGCCACTGATCGATTCGACGACGGAAAATGAGGAGAGGTAGGAGATTCTTTTTGAAATCTTGTTTCACAAAGATATCCGCAATAGGATTTTCGAGTTTTAATGTTTTCTCTTTCTCTCGAGCCAGCTCGCGGTGAATAATTTTAAAAGTTAGATTGAACAATTCGAGATTTCTCGATTGTTTCGTTTCGAAGCTAGGTTCGTTTCGTAACGTCACCGTTAATGGTCTGCAAAACGGCGTAGAACTTTCTTCTTACTGATGATACTGTAACAATCCTTCAACATTCCATTGTGCAGCAAATGCCGAGAGGCTGTGGCGTCCGCCAAAGCTGAATCGGCTTCGCATCAGTCCCAGCAGAGCAAGAATTCAGACGAAGAGGTCCGGCTTGCCACTCCTCCGCGACCAGGTCAATCACAAATTCTTTTTCCATCGATTCTTATCATTTTTTTTCTTTCTCTCCTTCTTTTTTTTCTTCTCGTACGAGAAAATTAAGATTTTGTTTTATATATTTTTTCGTAACTGAAAAACGCAGGCACGATCGCCGAACGTGAGCACAAAAAGTGGGAAAATGCTCCACCTATCGAAAACAACCCTTACAGCCGGGAGAATATTCAAAAGAGGTTGTGGGAGAGGCAGTACTCGAGAAGATCGTCAGAAAATTCCGGGTAAGATATGAAATGATTCTTTCGCAAAATTGTTTCTCGCGACGAATAACATTTTTGAATTCAGAATTTACACCGAATTGTCAACGAGCAATGGAACGGACTTGCTCGACGTGTTAACATCTCGAGAATCGAATATGCAAAGGTAATGTTTGAAAAATTTACTAAAACGATTAAAATTTTTCATCTTTCTGAATCGATCGTATTATTATACGAAATGAATCAAATTTATAATTTAATGAACGTTTCGTTTAAATTATGATGAGGTATATATATTAGCAATAGTAATTTAACAGAAAGTAATTACTTTGCCATTGAACGGTTGATGATAGAGATCGGATCTTAACGATTTGCAAACTGATGGTAAATAGATTTTAATGACTTTGCTTTATAATTATATTCGCGGATAATTCTTTTAATGGAGGATAAATGAGCTAAGGTTGGAAATGGAATCGAATCCTTGTAAAAGTGATTAGTTTTTAAAGAATTTAGTGAAGAAGCGGGGTGAATTGCTTTTTGGTAAAGAGAACTTTGTTTCGTTACATTCTGCCAGTCACTCCAAGCACTTCGCCATTGCATGGTCTTTGCCATAGATTTTAGAAGAAAAACTGGCGATTTAATTTTTAAAGAATTATTGCCAAATCCGTATTTCGTCATAATCTCATTTTACAAATTCATTTTTACCACAGATAATAATAAAAATTCAATTTCTAAAACCGTATAGGTTCGGCAGGGATTATTACGTGAACGGATCGGTGAACGAGAAAGGTAGAAGATCGTCAGACAATCCCGGGTATGATTTACGATGTTTCTTTGCATAATTTGCTTTTCGCGTTATTTTTTTATGTACGATATCTTTTTGTTTAGAATACATAACGAATTGGCAATGAGCAACGGAACGGATACGGACGACATGCCATCATTACTAAATATCCAAAGGTAAGGGAATGCGTGGAAATAAATATTCTTTTCATTGTTAAATTTGTACAAAATCGAATAAAAAATTTTCCGTAAATTTCTGCGTAGATCCACCGGGGATCACTGCGATACGAAAGTGAACGAGAAAGGGAAGAGAAGATCGTCGGACAATTCTGGGTAAAAGATTTATTATTATTTTCACGCACAATTTTCCTTTTACGAAAATTAATTCTGTACGATCGATGATATTTTCATCACAATTCAGAAATTACGAATTATCAACGAGCAGTGGGAGTTTGAACGATGCGTTGACATTTCGAGACGAGAGCATGCAAAGGTAAAATGTGAAAAATATGAAAGCTTGTGAAAAAAAGAAAATTGACAGATATTAAAATTCTTCTAAATTTTTTCTTGAATTAAATTTTTGAAACGCGTAGATCTGCCGGGGACTATTGCGTGTACGATCAAAAAGCGTCAGTAAACGAGAAGGGAAGAAGATCGTCGGACAATCTCGGGTAAGACGTGCAATTTGTATTTATATAATTAATTTTATTTACGATGAATAATATTTCCATTCGAAACCTACGGAAACGAAACAATCCAAAAATTAAATTCAACAAAATTCAAAGATAATGAAAACGTAGAATAAAAATTTACAATATCCGAATAAAAAGGGAAAGAAAGTTCAATTTTGTTTCTATGAATATTTCTGAATTGTTTAGATCGGTCGAGGATTATTACGAGAAAAATCCAAAATCATCAGCGAATAAAAAAGAAAGAAGATCGTCAGACGTAATAATCGATGACGTTTCAATATTCCAAGAACTAAATATACAAAGGTGAAGAAAAATTCAAAAAAAAAAAACAATTCTTATCTTTTCCCCTTAGATTTTAGAATTCCCTTCCTCTCCCCCCCCCCTTTCCCCCAAAAAAAAGTTATTAAAAACTTATTCCGCAAAATTTGGATAAATGAAATCGATTCTCAAATCTCTTTTTTTCGAAATGCCGTAGATCCGCCGGAGATTATTACACGAACGATTCAAAGCCGTCGGTGAACAACAAAGGGAGGCGGTCGTCGGGCTTTTCGACCTCGAGCAGACCGAGCAGCTCGTTATCCCAACGATCAAGCTTCAACGGGGTCGCGGACCAGGATCAACAGGTGAGTTTCCAGCTCGAAAAGTTCGAGGAGGCTTCCCTGCGCGGCAGCCTTTCTAGATGGACCTATCGCGATCCGTGCTCCAGTTCGAACTTTGCTGTCAACCCTCTTCTGCGCATGGCCGAATCACCTGATCGTGTTCACGAGAACGTCAAGGATCGAAACGAGATATCGTTAGGGAACGACGATCGAGACGACGTGAAAAAGAGTGAAAAAGTGGCCGAGGGGGAATAAATAACGAGTACAAGATAGCGGATAAGAGAGAAATCGAGGATATTAACGAGATTTTGGAAGAGATCGAAGATATCCCGAAAATCGGTCGCGATATTGAACGAAATAATAATCTCAACACGGATCGCGACTCGGGTATGTCCTCCGTCGATACGAACGATTCGAAAGTTGGGAGGAAAGAGGATCAGGATTGTTGGAGGAGGTTGTGGATCGACGACTTTCGAAACGTGAAAAACGAACAGACCGTGTCCTTGAATGGAAGAAGGTATTTCAACTCGAACGGTTACAAGTATAACACGTTTGGTGGGATAAAGAAGCATTTGTTGATCGATGAGTTGGAAGATTCTGACGAGGACAACTCGAAACCCGAGAGATCTGATGAATTCTTCGATCCTGGGCAATTTGCCGGGTTGAAGTTCCACACGTTTGGAGGTGTAAAGGGGAGCAAAAAAGTGGATAGGAGAGGGATCCTCATGTACAGAAGGGTGACGTTGAGATCGTCCGTGAGAAACGGTAAAAATGTGAAAGGAATGAGGACGTCTCGAAGCGATTCCTTGTTTCAAGTGAAGGATAGAATAAGTGAGGACAGACACACCGATTATCGAAGCGACGATTCCGAGGAGAAGGATAGATGCGCGAAATATCTCGACAAAAAACCGAGGAGAAGAGGATGTAACAAATTCTACAAAAGGCAAAAGACAAAGATTATGTACACCTCATCGTCGTCCACTGATGACGATTGGCAAGACGAAGAGGTATTGGAATTGCCCGACAAAGTGATAATGCAAAAGTTCCTGAAGGATACATCCAAGAAAATGAAATCGAATTCGGACAACGATCCCAATTACTTCTTGAACACGTCGAGAAAAAAGATATTCAACGATAGCATCAGAGCATCTAGATCGCCAAAGCATCGATCCTCGGACGATAACGAGAGTTTGAAGCTGGAACCGCCCATCGTGCCCGAGGTCGTCGAGAAAAGTTTCGAAAGTTTGCAGGATCTTCGTGGCAAAGGGAAAGGGAAAAAGAAGCGCAAAGCTTCAGAATCGATCAAATACGTGGGTGTGAGAAGTTTGAGCGATCTGACAATATGGTGAAAATAACTTAATCGAATTAGTTCTTCAAAATAGAAACTTTCTTTCAATATATAACACGTATATTATGGAAGTTTATATTTTTTTTATACAATTTTATTCGAACCTCGTATGCAGTGCCATATTGTCAACGAGAAGTTCCTTAGAAAGGTGTCTTTAAAAGTGAATCTAACGATAAAATTAATATATTATAACGTTAATCATTTTATTATACTTTTCTAATAATAAATTATAGAGAGAAATCTTATTGTACAAATATATATATATATATATATATTATAATTATCTTAAGTATATTTTATTTTTAATGAAAGTAACGAGTGAATTGTGACTTTGGTCAAAAGTGCATGACACATTTTCTTAACATTTATATCTTCAAGGAGGTGTAGGTGTTGTTTCACTCTACGATTAATTTTAACAAATTTTCAATTTGACTTTTTAATTACTCTCCTCGTTAATTTTAACAAATTTGTTGGTGAATTTGATAAATAGCTCTCACTACTTAATTAAGACGTAACAGAGAAATAAGACAATCTCTGTAACAGCGAACTGTAAATAAATCTTTTTGACTCTTTCTTGTAGATCGCACGCACGAGTTATGTATCGACCTTATACAAAAAAAAAAAAAGAAATAATTACTTTTACTTGTATATAGCACACGTAGACCATAGAAAAGGCTGCTTAAGAAAAGATCAAAAAAAAAAATAATAATAATAAATAAAAAAAACAATAGAAAAAAACATTTCTATTAGTACGAAGTTCTATGCACATTGCATATGCATGATAGCTGCGAAAATGCCTTTACCCGGATCGGTAAGTACCGTTTACATGCATTTCCAATTTGATGCGTGTCGACTAACAAACGATATGTCAAGGGTTTGCATGTTACATTGAGATAAGCATAAATTCGTTGACTGAGAATCAGCATGAATTTTCATCGAGGATCGAAAAGAAGGAAAAAAAAAAAAAAAAAAAAAAAAAAATAACGTAAAGATTTTTCTTACCGCCATTCGCAAGATGCTCCATCATTTGATCGTAACTAACAATTTTTCAGATTTCTTTTTCTTTTCTACTGATGCATGATTATAACAATCGATGCTTTAAACTATGCATTAAACTAATTCCTATTGAAATACTAATCGCTGCAAAAAAAAGTCGATCGAAACTAGTACTTTAATGCAGAACTAAAATGCATAGAGGGAACGTCGGATCTCCCAAATGATTTCGAAACGTTTTCTGTTCCAGGAGGAAACGCAATACAAGGAAACGGAGTCTCTGTTGAACCGAAGCAACGATGTTAAATCGAAAGTGGCTAAATGGCAGAATAACAACGTGGAGAGCAAGTATCATTTGCCGGCCGGGCAGGATGATTCCTCGAAAGGAAAGACAGAGAAGGAAAGGAGAGGTCGTGGGAGGAGCAACGGATGGAGGAGATTCTGGAGAACGAGAGGAAGAACAGCAAGAACGAGATAAACGCGAAATTGAATAACCAAGAGAACTACGAGAACACCGTGATCGAAACGAAAATGTTCAATTCGGAGAGGAGCCAACGAAAGATCAAGAGGATCGATCTGAAGGCGTACGGGTTCGAGAATGAATTCTGCTCGAACAGAACGATCAGAACTTCGACGCCAAGAGTTGTCAACAAGTTGGATCTCAGGTCTTTCGGCTACGACGATGGAATTCGACGAACGCAGTCAAATATTCAATTGAACAGCGTCGTCGACAATGACGAATTCAAGATTGCTAGGTTCGCCAACTTGTCGCAACGAAAGGATTACAAGGACGATCGTCAAGATGGGATCGAGAATCGAGGATCTGGGGACAACAGCTTGACGCAGAGCACGGAGACGCTCAACAAATTCGAAGACGAGAGTTATAACGAGTTCAAATTGAGGCCCGCGAAATCGGTGCCGAACATCACCAAGTGTTATTCGAGGAACAGCCAGAGGGAGGAGGAAGAGGAGGAGGAGGAGGAGGAGGAGGAGGAGTACGATCGAGATTCGTTCGACGAGTTCGAAGTAATAAAGAGCGGATCGGTGAGGAATCTCGCGAACAATTACAATCAGAAGAGTACTAATATTAAGAGCAGCCAGTCATCGATCGACGGATCAGAGAACGATGGGGATAATTCTTTGGAGAGAACGCAGAGTCATCAGTCGTTGAACGACATCAAGAAGAAAAGTTCGAGCGACGAGGAGTTCGATAATAAGGTGTTGCCGATGCCATCGGTCAGAAGGCTTGCTGAGGTATTTAGTAAGCAAACTGAACACGTTCGCGTTCCTGTTACAAAGGTGAGAATGGTGTTTGAATGATTAATGTTAATAGAACGTTAAAAAAAAATAAAAAAAAAAGAAAGAAAGAAAGAAAATGAATATAGCAAATTTGTCGTATAGCAAATTATCGAATTTTTAAAAATGTTTCGCTTTGAATAATATTTGGATCATTTGCACAATTAAATATTTAAATTATTATTTGATTATATTTGTTAATATATACGTATATATATATATATTTTTTTTATTAGGCAACGAAATCATGTAACATGTACAACGAGAGATCTTCGACGCCAGAAATTCAAATAGTTGAAACACCGAGGCAAATGCACAGCCTAACCGCCAGATCACTTTCGAAACAATTTCGAGAAGGCTTGAGGCGAATTCCAAACAAAGTGACTTCACCTCCGGCTAGCCACGTCGTTATGGAACAATGCAAAGTAGGCGAGAACCAAATGGAAGTAGTGCAACCCAAGAACGATGTGTTTAACGATACGAACGTGATTCTACCGGGAAAATTGAAATCGAATATAATATTCTGGGAACAGATGCAGAAAAAGATGTAAAGCATATCTATTTGCTTTAAATTTGGTGCACGTTTGTCAAAAAAAAAGGAAAAAGAAATTTATAAATTAATGTAGGGATCAAATTAAAGTGATATAGAATCGTGTGTAGAATCAATGAAACGAGGAATCTACTAATATTTTTTCCTTTTAATATGATTGAAATTATTTTTAATAATTTAATTTAATGAGAAACAAATTCGAAGAAGTAAAAAAAGTGGTTAACATCCTTGCTCAACGTAAGAATGTTTTAACACAATGCAACAAAAGGAGTCGATTAATTGTATGAAACAATACAGGCTCGATGATCGATTAATTTACAAATGCAATTGCATTCGCGACATGAAATGTCGATGAGACGTGTGTGCCAAATGATACGAACCCGTGATTAGCCAAAGAGAATTATTTTTTTTTTTTTTTTTTGCGTGGTTCTTTTGAAACATGCAAATAATTTGAACTGAACAGCAAACATTTTGAAAACTAAACTATTAAAAAATCCACCAAATTTTATATGTTTGCAATAAATAATTGTAAATATATATCGGAATATAGTCAAAAAAATAATCAAAATTATTTTTTGTACATAAAAAAAATCTAATATAGTTAAAAAGTTAATATATATATATATATAAATTTATTCTATAGTATTCTCATGTATTACAACACTGTTATTATTTATTGACGTCTAAATATACATATATTGGTGTGTATATATATAAATTAAGAAAATCGATGGGCAACGAAAATTCTTGAATAAAATATCGAAGTTTGTATGGGATAATCTTACGTTATCTGTGTAACTAAAACTGTGCTATATCGATATTATATAGAAATATATTGTTTATTATCAAAAAAAGACTATAAAATTGAATTTTCGCCTTCAAAAATAAGAACGGATTAAGGATTGTTAAGATAGTATTATAGGAGAAAACTGAAGAAATTAAAATTGTTAAGGTATACTGCATATTTTATTCGAATATTCGCACATACATATGTGTGTGTATATGTGTGTGTCTAACTGTTTAGTGTTCTTTATGGATATATTCTACACAATTAAAAAAAATACTATCTCTTTCAAAAAATTATAAAAAAAAAAATCATAACTTGTAAGATCATTGCATTGATACGTTACGTTTTCAAATACTTTTTTTTTTTTCTCTCGAACCAGTTTTCAATAATATATGCATCTAGTTTTATGATACGGTACAATTTCTAATTCAACTTCGTGTTCTCGCCGATAATTCCACAGGAAATGATCGATCAGAACCGAATTAATATTTGATTTTAATTGATTTTTTTCCTCTTTAGAATAATTAGATCTCTCGATTAGATTTCTCACTTCATATTTGACTCGTTCGATCGCTTCTATCGTACAACCACGAATTTCAATTTCCTCGTCACTACCGTTTTCTAACTCTATATCTGTAAATATCAAATACCGTGCTATCTAATGAGCAAATTGTGCCACTTACCTTTATCGTCTTCTATTTTATAACGCGATAAAGAAATAAGATAAAAAATAAAATAACTGATAAAAAGACTTACCAAATTCTAGCTTACTCATGAGAATGTTGTTGTAACGAAGAGCACCAAAATATAGGAGGATTTGGGGAATACGATAATCGGCGAACATCGTGAGATAATCTATGTCCCAAAATCTGCCAATCCCCTTCCCTTTGAAGCAGGCCCAAATATCGCCCACCAATATCTGAGCCCTCTTGTAAAAACTGACTGAAAAACAATCACATTGTTATCGCATTTGTCCCTTTCATGAAATAATTTTTTAATACTTAATTCTTTTTCATCATAAGATTAACATAAGTTAATTATTACCTCTGTGCATTTTATAATCTGCCTCATCTTGGTAAGATTCGAATTCCTTCACGAGCAAATTGAGCAAATTCTGAGCTGAGTGAGAGCTCAACTTGACACAGTTGACAAAAGTACCTAGAAATAAAATGGAATTGATAATCAACCATAACACGTGAACGTAATTAATAATAGATTTTTAAAATGTGTACAGAATATTTTGATAGTCTAGTGTATAACTTTACAGCCTGCTAAATAAAATCTTCGAAAGGGAATCGAGAATTTATAAATCTGATTATTTAATTTAAAAAAATATATTCTCCATATATACGACAAAGGTCAGTAAAGTTTTGCACCAGAATTCTTAATATACAACTGAGTGATGATCTGAGAAAAAGGATTTCAAGCATGTACCTTGATATTTCTCTAATAAAACTTTTCCAGCATCTCTCAAGCATTTTACTCTTTCGTCTAACAGCGGAATACTAATTGCTGTATCGCCACGAAAAATATACTCGGCTTCGGATCTCGTTATTTGAGAATAATACTTGGGATCAATTATAGGTTTCCCCTCCTGTTCGAAGTAAATCGTTTAAAAAGAGAGAGACAGAGAGAGAGAGAGAGAGAGAGAGAGAGAGAGAGAGAATAAGAGAGGAGAGAGAAGAAGAAGAAG